ACAGAGAGAGAAATCTACACCGGGGGGGGCCGCGGGCCCCACAGTGCTCTCCTCCCTTTCTCTCCTCTCCGTGCTTTTTTCGCGCCCGTTTTCAGAGCCAGTTCCTCTCTGCATGCAAATGGGTCCGCCCAGGGAGGAGGGCCCCCCCGTGCTGGAGCCGGGTCCTTCGGTGGGGACGCTTCGCGGGCTGCACAGTCTCCTGGCCGAGGGAGGAATTGAGATTCGAATTAGTTACTCCTCCAAATTAAAGACCTCATGTGCGCCCTCAATGTATACAGGCGTGAGGGTCATTATGAACCCAGTTCCCTCTCAACACAGGCCTACCCAATTGCTTTCCCTCTGTCCGGCCCCATGCAGGAGGGAAGGTGGACAGGAGGGGTCACGAAGATAGAGAAATCGGCCATTTCTTGGGTGAAAGTGACGTTTTACCAGCAGAGGACCAGCCTTCTGTTTTAGAAACCTCTTTGATACACTTCTCATTCTTTGGAGGCTTCACTTGAGGGAGATTTTGATTGCCTCTTTAGTTTTCTTCCCCAGCCATCCAATACCCATTAGCTGGACGCACAGTGTGTCCAAGGAATTCGTTATTGATAGCTGTTTCATAAGACTCCAGTCACTGCTGAATATTTAAAAGAGACTTTTCGGCCCTCTTTTCAAGAAGTTGAAGTTATTGGCCTGGGCTCAGTAATACACTCTTTAGTATAGTTGCCATGAATTTATCACTTTTCAGTAGTTCTAAATGTCCAAATGCACAAATAGAATTGGGATATTGTATAAATCGTTTCATTCCAAGAGGAGAGCACACTTCCTCTAGAGCAGTGTTCGGCAAACTGCAGCTTGCGAGCCATATGCGGCTCTTTGGCCCCTTGAGTGTGGCTCTTCCACAAAATACCACGAGCGGGTGCACACGTACAGTGCGATTGAAACTTCGTGGCCCATGCGCAGAAGTCGGTATTTTGTGGAAGAGCCACACTCAAGGGGCCAAAGAGCCGCATGTGGCTTGCGAGCCGCAGTTTGTTGACCACTGCTCTAGACTAATCTGATAAAAGGAAGAATCATATCAGACTTTCCTAAAAAGAAGAGGTTGTTACCCTTGCCTAACTAATTCTGCTTATTATTATTTAAAAGAGAGAACAGTGGCAGAGAATCTGGCTTAGGCTCCAGTGGACTACTGCAATAAAATTCTGTGACGTTAAACTTTAAAATACATCTAATTTAAGAAATCTTAATACTTTGATTTTTATAGCACTGCACTTTCTCAAACTCCTTTTTCATCCGTTAGAAAAATATGTCAGACTAGGCATAGAACAGGGGTGGGGAACATCAGCCCATGGGCCATATAAGGCCTGCAAAATCATTTGGTCTGGCCCTGTCAGGGCATTAGGTGTGAGTTAATTAAATGTTTGACAAATATAGCAGGCTAATTTTTTTTCTCTTATTGTTTCCTTTTTTTTTTTTAACAGGCTAATTTTTAAGTTGATAATTTTGTATGGCCCACAAATGATGTTATAAATATCCAAATGGCCCTTGGCAGAAAAAAGATTCCCCACCCCCAGTCTAGAAAATTGGTTTTACGATACAAGTGGGATGAGCCTAGATCAGTAGTATGTTGGGCTACAGTTAAAGGAAGCCTCTGTTTCTAACAAGGGAAAGCAGAGGCAAAAGACAAAAGAGATGGGGAGGTGGGGAGGAATAATCAGTTTGCTGCATAGGAAAAAAAATTAGATTGATGGCTGGGAGTCACAAGTTTTGGAGCTAGAGAAACAAAAGCGAGGTTGAATCTAGTGGAAGAAAAGATGTAAAATACCAATGTGGGGCTAAATCTAGAAAAAGGGTTTGACATGTGGGTAAATGTTGAGGCAGGGATGCAGAAAAAGAAAGATTTAAACCTCCAACTAACATTTTCTCTGCC